AAAGTATTCATAATAAATTTTCCATAAAAAACATTGTATACCAATTATGGTAAAAATTTAAGCCAGCTTTAGTAAATGGGGTTGCAGGAGGATGTTATTTGATCTTTATTTAGTTCAACATCCACAACTAAGGGAAAACAGTCAGTTTAAATTCAAAAAGTGAATAGTAAGTTAACCATTTTAAAGCCCACTCAAGTGTACATATATTAAGTCTTCCTTAACCTAAGAAATTACTATAAATGTTTACATCAAGGGATGTCACCGACTTCCCTTAACGAACCCAGTTGAGAACGATTCCATGTTTTCTTTCCATTAGCCATCTTCTCGAGTCGGACCTTTACACAACCCAATCCGAGGACCCGGCCTCAGACTCAATCCAAAGCCAGAACCAAGCAGAAAGCCCACCTCCAGCCTCCTCCGACCGCAATCAAATCGAGGTGGCAGGGTTGCCACCGCCAGCGACAGTTCGGTTAGCCGCACTTAGCGCGCCAACTTTTCGGGACAACTTCAGCAATTTAAATTGAAATGAGTGCCGCTGGCATGCCAAAGGGTCATGCGTTTGATAAAATGTGAGGTTTGCATGGACCGATTTTTTCACTCCCTCAATATTACAAAATTATTGTTTTTTTCATAAACTAGGCCTAAACGGCTTTCTGAATATGGCCAAGTTTGTTTAAGTTTTTGAACAATTTTACTACGCTACTTAATCTCTGACGCAAGAACTTTATATCGTAAAGGCTTGAAATTCTGAAAGTTGTATTCTAATAGCTTTTGTAAAAAGTATTTCTGAGTGCAGCATTTTGGTAAATAGTTGGGCGCGGTTTGCAGACCCCAAAGCAAAGGAGGCCCCAGGAGATTAAGAATGAGATGTAGCACTTGTCAATGTAAGGGTAACCACATAATTGAGTTATTACACTCACTGACAACAGTGCCCATGGTTCGTATAAATTTACTTCAACGAGCAGCCACAAAAACTAACAGGGAAAAAAACAAAAATAGTAAACAAAGAAGTTGGGTGGCGGCAGGCGAATATGGCCAAAAGCAAAAGCATGACAATTTATGGAATCCTTTCAGAGGTATATCAAGTCGACGGTTCTATGAGCTACAGCGAAAACAAAAAGGCGATATACCGGGCCAAAAAAATGAGTTAACATCCAAAACAAATTTGTTCGGTTGAATGCGGCATCTGTTTATCCCGTATTGTATGCCCAAATCGCTGTAAACTCAAAATTCGATTCTTATTGAATTAAGAAATAATATTCGAAAATGTCATGTGCTTCTTCAAATTAGCTCAAACATCTAAAGATACAAAAATATATTTGCCGACTTAATTGTATCATTGCTTTAATTCTACCACGCTAAAATTAAAATTTAAAATTTCCTACTAGTTTTAGGGTCTTTAAATTGATGGGAGACAATGCCTAATACCGTATCGTTGGCTGTTGTATCTCAGTGTAGGACCAACAGAAGGCGTTCATATCCCAAAGCATATGATAAGTAACGCAAACACCATCCCCAGACACCTAGCAGATCCTTCTGATGTACGTGCCTGTGTGTGAGACTGTGAGTGTTTGGGCCAAGTGCCACCCCCCACCTTCCCTGCCATACTCATCCGCCTCCTCAATCCACTCCGCACATTGTTAGTTCGGTGAAGAAGACGTCGACGATGCTACCGCTGAACTACGACCTCAAGTCACGGCCCAGTGCATATGTATGCGTATTAAGGACGCTCCAGATACAGACACAGTCGCACACAGATACCGCACTAACTGCCGTTTGGCCTGTGTCAATATGTATGTAAATAAGCGGGAAAACAAGTGGTTATAAATTTCCAAGGATGATGATGCCGGGCGACTGTCGCTGCCGTTGCGTATGAGTGTAGCACATTGCGTATACGCACCATCGACGCCAAAAGCCGTGAACCAAAAATAACCCATACGCATAAGGAGTTTGCATGTGTGTGTACCCTAATTATAATGCCCTAAAGAAAGGACGCCAGCGATACAAACTCAATAACAAAACAAAAATAGGCAAAGGGAAAAATGGGGAGAAAAATAAATAGAAATAAAATAAAGTAAACGTAAACATAGGCAAGATGAGATAAGAGTGCTGAGAGCTAATGAGGCGTGCATTGAAGAAAAGAAAAGCCTTTGAAAGGGATCCATCAAGTAACTTACAAAATTAAAGCTCAATTCCTCATCCACCATACTGACCCTTTCCATTTTTATGTCCTGCATCCTTGAAAGTTTTTAATATGTTTATTTATAAAAAGTAAACGCAGAGCAATGTGGCCACCGTTGCGTCGTCAATGTTGTTTATTACTGCTGCTCTTGTTGTTTATTATTTTCTCCCATCCGAGCCATTTTTGTCCCTTGAAACCCGTTTTACCACCCACCTTAAGTAGAGGTTGTCCACTACAAGTTTGCAGCTTTATTACACTTCTCATAGAATCCCATAAAATTAAAAGCAATTTTGTTGTTGCAAATACTTTAACTTTCGTTCTTGCCCTCGTTGGGCTGAAAGGTTTTACTTTTCGGTCGGATCGCACGACCAGTTACCCCTTTCATCGGAAAAGGGGTTAAAAGGTCAAATGGTACTCTGACTTTAGTAGGGGTCATAAGGAAGGGTCCGCGTTGTTTAATTGCCATTTAAACTTAATATTTTCAATTGTTTATTTAAGATTTGCTTTGTATATAAAATAGTGCCTAGGAAGGAATACAAAAATCCGTAATAAAATTAGCACAACCTTTTTGTTTTTGATGTTTGCAAATCAACAGTAATATTCAACAGTAATATTTTTTTTAATATACGTATTTTAACTTAAGCCCCTTTGAAGTCTTTGACTTTGAATTTTTATCGCGATTGCTTTAGATATTCAAAACACCTAATCGTTGTCCCTTCTTTTAATAACGCTGTAGTGGTTTTTTTCTTGTTCTCTAAGTGAACAATCGATTTTTGGTTCAAGACGCTATTTAAGTGGGACAACAATATTTGATCCTGCCACAACACATAATCCAAACACCATTCATCATTAATAAAAAGCTTCCAAAGACCAACATGTGTGCCGGGGTCCCGATTTTTTAACCTTAACAACAACAGCCACCATGTCATTGGCATTGTCATGTTGAGGCAATTTGCGTTGCCATGCCATCTCAGAACTTTCCAGCAGATTATTTATTTTGGCCCAGTGACAACAAAACAGGAGCATCAATCATTTCCGGGCAATCGGATGACAATGCCCCAGGACCTGTCAGAGGTGTAGGCCCCAACGGAGCATATTTTTAATATATAAATGAAAGTTTAGACTGTCATGTTGATGAATTGAAATATTGCCGCACGAATGCGTAACGCAGGTAATCAACCATCAAATTGCCGGGGGCTGAGCCGGAAGAAAAGGTGCTCCAGGAATAGACGACGCTCAGCCTGAACTTTTCGCTTTAAATTGCTCTAAAGTGGATGTTGAGTTTATGTGAGTGCGGGTGCTTTTTCGAATGAAGTAATCAAAGTAGGAAGAACGCTCAAGTAATCAGATTCAGAACGAGTTGGGCCAATGGGGAATGCGATATGTAAGCCTACAAAATATTTATTTAGTCAAATCAATTTTATGGCAATTCGGTTTTTATAGCGGCAGGCATAGATAAAAAAATCCCGCCTTAAATTATGCAAAGGTTGTCATTTCCACTTCCTCTCTGAGTACCTTTGAATTTAAGCAGTATGTACACAGAGAAAAGATCAATAAAGCACGTGAAAATTCAACAAAAGCAAATTATTGTAGAAAAAAGTTTTTCCCCATGAAAAACGGATTTGTGTTACTTGAATATTTGCATAAAATAACATTCGTTCTAAAGCCTTACTTTACCATTCCATGATGTCGTGAAAATTTGGCGTAAATTAAAACCTAAAAGCCTGGTATTCCAGCACTTGGTTGAACACAATTTTCAATTCGATTTAACAAGTGTGTCCCTTGCTAGAGTTTAAAAATCCATGCCAAATTAAATCTAACTCTTGAACTTGAAAGGGAGTTTTTCCCCCAGTGTATGTGCGTGTGGCTGCTCGATTCGTGTGGGTGAACGCCTAAACGTGCATAAAAACACACGCGGGAACAGCAACACCAGCAAACAGATGGAAAGTCAGCGGAAGCGCGTGCGTGACAGAGTGTAAATATCTGTCTGTGTGTTTGTTTCTGTCGATTCGCCTGTGCAAGTGTGTGTGCCAACTGAACTTTTAAACTAATTTGAAATTTTAATTTAATTAATTTGTGTGCGTATTTTTAATGAAAATGTCAGGGAGTCGGAAAGTTCCGTCGCTTGTGGGCCAAGGAAATGGTGAAGGCTTTAAATAAATCATGATGGCAGGTGTCTGGATTGCAAATTATATTGAAGAGGGGCTGTCATCTGACAAATTGATCAGGAAGACATGGATGACAAGGAAATACATCACCTTGACTAATTTTGGGATGAAGGATGTATAACCTTTTCAAGGATATATTTCCTATCAAATGGTTAAAAAGGAAAAATAAGCGATTATTCTTAATTACCCTTAAAAGCATACGCAGTATTGTCCGGTTCCTCGGTTCGTTTGCCCGATTCACTTTATATTGGAAATGTACCTTTTATTTAATTTGTATACAATTTACGCCGAAAGGTAGGCAACATCCTTTTAAATTCGAAACTGTAATATTGTGGTACAAGTATCACCAGGGTTTTGAAATTACTTCCAAATGTGTCTAAAAGTGTGCAGTCAAATAAATAAATATTCCGTAACTTCCTTTTACTTCCGGGTTCAAGTTGTATTGTTTCATATTTTACGACATTTTTATAAGTTCAATTAAATTCCAAGTGATTTCTTTGGCTTCTTCGAAATTTTATCCTTACGGAATTACTTCTAGGTATAAAATGTATAACCTACTTTTGTATTCCTGTTTTAACCTAGAATTATAATCTTTTCACAGAAAACTTTTAGCGAAAAATCAAATTGTTTCTGTCTTTCCTTTTTCGCAGGCAACAACAGCAATTTGCGAGCAATAGAAACACAATTATGGCAAATTCGAACAAAGCTTCGCCAAAGTTCATTAGCAACAATAATAGAGGAAATAACTACAAGTGCAGCTGCAGCGCCAGCATCAGTAGGGGCCACAAAATGTAATCGACCAAGGGCGTTTCACTTGAAAAGGGCCCACTCAGCTTGGCAGTGGGCAACGGTCAACGGCGACAGCAACAACCAACTCTGAATCGCTACAATCGACAACAAGCGCAATCACAACAGCAGCACCATCAAGAAACCAAACAAAAATACGCAACATAAATGAAGTTAACAATCTGTCAAATTGCTAAATTATTTCTGCTGTTGACAGCCTTCTTCTTTCTCAATTCCCCCAGCGCAGCCTCTTTAGCCCTCGGCTCGAATCCCACCTCCTCCTCCTCCTCCTCCTTCTACTCCTCCTACTCCTTCCGCCCAACGGCGGGTGTCCTTGTCCTGCAGGCGGCCAAGACAGGGACAGACTTTGCCACAACGCCAGCGGCGAAATCAGTTGCGGCTACGCGGACTTCCCCGGCGACAGCAGCAGCAACATCACTCGGCAGCAATTCAATTTGGCCACCAGCAACACAAACAAAGAGTCCACGTAATGCGCGTGAAGCTGAACGTCAGAAACGTCAAAAGCAACAGCCCACAACCCAACTGCAACAGCAGCAACAGAAGCGCCAGCAGCAGCAGCAACAACGGGGACAACAACGACAACGGCGACAGCAACAACAGCAGCAACAGAAGCGACAGCAACGGCAACATCAAAATCAACGACTGGCCGTTTTAATACCTTCTTCGCTGCACGTTGATATGACGCATGTGCAACAGGGCTTCCAGAATTTCCTCGACTTTTTCCAACTGCATTTATCTAATGCCAGCGTCGATTTCCTACGTGATGTGGGTGAGTACACACAAGCCGAAAAACAAACCCATCAGAAACAGGCCAAGCATCCTTGTTTGCCTTGTTTGTTGCCACAGCCTCTGAAAATCCCTGCCAACATGCATTTAGACATCGTGTTTTATCGATGATTTGTGTGTGCCTGATGCTCAAGTTTCCTTTTTTTTTTTGCTCGGAAAATACCACATGAGTCGGAGGCTGAAGGTGGCAGTTTATGAAGATGAATTGGCCGGCCGTTTGCTAGGGGTAAATGTTTGCTGGCAGCCAACAGAGTGGAAGTTATGGGAAACTTTGCTAATTGAGTGAGGAAATACAAATCAAGCGAACGAATTAAAGTTGAAGCTATCTAGACCGCAGAATCTTGAGAGGGAAGACACCCGGGACGAGATGACTTAACTTTTTTCCAGCCTTTACAAGGCGTTGGGCTCTGCTCCTTCGCAAACCCAATTTGCATGCATTATGCTTTGATTTCTTTTCTGCTCCCTCTTTCCCTCTTCCATAAATAACACCCCTCGTACAACGCAAGCAAATTTAAACTAATTTAAGCACGTCCTTTGACTTTTTCTTGAGTTCTAGGGGCGCCGGAAAATAGACACCAGCTTCTACGCGTTTTCCAGCAAAAGTTATAGCTTTAATTACGGGAAACTTTCCTTCCTAACTCAAGTTATCTTTCCTGGCTGTTCCCATTATAAATACTTTGCTCCCTGCTAGTGACAACTTACAGTTCCCGATTTATAACTAACAATTTAAAGCTTTCGTTTAGATTATGTGATAGTTTTAAAGCCAAAACGAACCAGCTGAAGCTTTAAAAGAGATTAGCAGCTGTCAATGGCGGGATATCAATTTGCAGAATAATTGGACAACATGGCGAAAGCCAATTGCAATGCGCAGACATCCTGACTTACACAACAGCAACATGTGTAAGCGTCCAATCAATCCACACTGCTCTCTGTGAGGTTTCTTACATAATATGTTATTCAACCCAGGCAAGGTCCCCTTTTCATGTTGTCCTCAGGTAAAAAGCAGCATTCAGCCGCTTTTGTGCCGTTGCCAACGATGGTCAGCAAATAGACTCGCAGACTTTGCTCCGGACATAAATTACCACCGGGGCAAGAAAGGAAGCAATATGCAACTAGAATCCATTTCAATATTTTGCAAAACATAAAAACCTGCTGCACACCAAGACAGCCAAGTTAAATTACGGCAAATGGAATTTATTTGTACGGAATGAAACTGTTACGTTAGTTGGGCTTGCAAATTGAATTTCGTTGTCGGGCACTTAAATCAATTTAGATGGCTGTGGGAGCGAGCAAGTTTTACCTGTTATTTATGACACCTGCGAGACAGCTCCTAAATTAAAGATATCAAACTTAAACTATCCGCCTTGTGAACAACAGCAAAATTGTTGCAATTGGCAAAAACTTCGGCGCCAAATAAGTGAGCGACAAAGTTGGCCATGTGTAGATGCCCGTGTTTACGCTGAAAATAACTGAAAAGAACTAAGCGCAGAGAAAGCAAGTTGAAATAATAAAGCAAGTAGCCGGACGAAGAAACTAGGACGGGAACGAAAGTTTTCAAACAGAAGTGCCACCGAGAGTCGGAATTAACTTTCAGCTTATCGCGATCTACGGCCAAATTCATTTAAATAGCTAATCACTTGGGCAAACCTAATTCCGCATAAATATTCACGAACATAAGCTAAAAGTTTTCAAAGGCAAAGTTTTAATTTACAGAGACTACTATTTACCAAGAAAAGTTCCTGAGCTGCCGGATTAGTGGGACCCAGCTCATGAGCAGCACTTTATGGGATTCTGATCCCCCGAATATTTTCAGTTACCATTCTCCACCGCGGTTGTAACTCCCGGGCTGTTGCTCCCCTGTCAAGAACCTGCAGTGCAAAGGCATGTGAATCACTGGCATCCATAACTCGGTCCACTTGTCGGATACTTGGCCAGTTGCTTGCGATGGCAGCCGTTAGCAGGCCATGCCGAGAACAGAAAGAGGGGCACTTGGAGCCCACAAAAGGGCCTGCCTCTGAAAAAGCCGTGCTGGCTTGGCTGTTTTAAGGCCGTATCAAATGGGCATCGAGCAATCGTCCGCCAGTCTCTTTCTTTGCATTCCCCTTAAGGCTCCTTGTGCTATTTAATTGTCTAGCTAAATTTGTGTTTAATGTTGAATGTGGCGATCACATCATTCAAGCTGCAAACCGAATATTTTGCTTAGACTTCCAAGCTGGATAAGCCCAAAAGCGTAGTTATTTTTTCTTAACTTAATAAATACAAAAGAGCTCATCTACTTGACATCAGTTTAAGAAAAACAAAACCTTATCTATGCTGATCGTCTTTGCATTCCCATTGAATTCAAAACATTTATTCCATAAAAACGTACGACAATTAATGTTATTCATAACTTTAATGCATATTAAGGCCTATGTAATATTCTTAAAATATTGCAATTTTCGATCTAATTATACTCGAATTTTTGGGCGTGATAAGCCTAATAATTGAAAACATCTTGAAAAATTGCAAAGGACGTAGCAAAGTTTAATTTAATAGATAATTGTCATTGATATACCCCCATACTTTTTTTTAGTAAATAATTCCTGAAATTCTACAATTACAGTTAATATTTACCCAAAAACGGTTTGGGTATTTTAAAATAAACTTAACTTATTTTCCGAGTATGAGAATCAATTTATTTCATGATTGCTCAACACGAAGCTTTTGGCCTTGCCGTAATTTAAAAGAAAGGAAAGATTTTTTAAAGTAAATTGCGTATTTAGCTTTAAAACAAGCTTAGTTTGCTTTGCCATATTTAATTGGCATCACTGTTTGGTGGACAAGGGGCAACAACTGCTGGCGTTGCAGACAGATTCTCGCTATGAGCATGGCAGCCTTCATCAGCAGTAACAGTTACTACACCGCTTTAGCACATACCCATATACATACACTCGCAGAAAAACCTCCCCAAGTCAGCTTAAATATGCAGAAGTTTTTTATATGCCACATAAAATGTTTCTCTTTCTTTTCGCCCTTCCCGATGATGTCGACGACGGCGCACAGATTTAAGTGGCTTCATTAAATTACTCGAGCTGCCCAAATACACGAGCGTTGTAAAGACTTTAAATGCGGGCATTAATGTAGACACCGACGTGGACGTGGACTTGAACATGGATGCGAACAAGGATCAGGGCGGCAACGGGGCTCGGAATCGGAATGGGAATGGGAATGCGAATATGGACGTTGACCCGCCCATCCAGCCACGTCAGCAACATTTGCAGCAGCAAACGCAGGAGGTGGAGCAACATCGTCATCGTCAGCAGGACTCCAAAGCGAAGCAGTTGTCGTCGGGCGAGGAGGCCTCCTTATCCTCCTTATCGTCCTTAACCGGTGGGAATGGCGAACATCGGTGGAACGTTGGCCGCAGCTCCTCGGGTCAGTGTCATCAGCTGGCTGAGCAGCTGGCCCTCGATTTCAATAAGACCGTCGTCCTGTGGCCCTGTCCGCGAATGAAAGTGAGTACGTCCTTACTTTAAGACCTCTGACACACAAAGGACAATCTTTGGCAGAATGATATAGGGGCGGACAGTCATCGGAAGATTATGTTTAAGTACATGTACTGTAAATTAGAGAATTGAAAAGAGAAAGGAAGCCAAGCACGGAAAGCTGAACCTATCAATTATCTTGTTTGGCTTAACTTTCCTAAGCCAGCTATTGAATATGAATATCCGATTTTTATAAAAATAAAATTATGTTCCTATACTCGTTCCTTTCACAGCTTTAGTAGTTCGATTTTAATGCGCTATGTGCATAGACAACTGAGGAAATTGTTGTTCTATGAGCTTTATGGCTATAGTCATTTGATTAATCAAAAACAATGGAAAATAGACCTTTCAAATTGTAAAGTTATGAAAATTGCGGATTTCTGACTTTCTGACAAATACAAAAAGGGACTTACAAATGAAGTGTACGCAGTTTAGAAATCCCTTGTCAATCTTCCACAAAAAACCGGGACCCTACACCCGCTAACACAATAAATAAAACTTAATAACATGTCAATAAGAAAAAATTTTTTACCTATTTTGATTAATTTTTGAAGAATTATATTATAAATATGACTAAGATGATGCATCAACATAAGCTTTTCAAGAACACATTTAATATTTGATGTTGTTTAACAAAAACAAATGTTCCCTAAACTGGTATCACTTAATCTTCGTATGAATCTGCATGCTTATTTTGAAATCTCTGGTTCATGGGGTCAAAAGGACAGACGGACAGACAGGCGGACAAGGCTTAATCGACTCGGCTACAGATACAAGTCAATACTATATATACTTTATAATGTCGAAAATGCTTGCTTCTACCTGTTACATATTTTTTACCGAATACTTTAGGAGTAACGGGTGTAATACGAATTATTAGCTTTTATAATTACTTTAGCCCAAGCTCAATATTGAAATACCATTTCTGAATTCGTGCTTCCTTTGATCAAGCTTAAATGCTTTTGGTTCATTCGAAATAGCTGCAAATAAATTTTTGTTCTGTTTTTAAGTTACATGTAAAAGCCGCCAGCAAAATACGGTGTGTTAATTAAGCAGAAATTTAAGCAAAATAACTAGGAACATGGCTTGCAGCAACCGCAGGCATTTTGCAGCAGCAATTTGCAATTTTCCAAAACAATCTTCAAACGGAGAAAGGAGACAGTTCGCACCACAAAAGTTCATCAAGTCAAGTCCGTGGCTGTTTGCTGAGGGTTGCAAGCAAACAGGAAATGGAAAAACCGAGCCAAAGGCTGTAGGATGAAGGATTTTGGTGGTGGTTAGAGGCAGAGATGCGGGAACTATCCAAAATATGCTGGAAAATTGCTTGATGAAAGTCGACGCTGGCATGAAATTACTTTTTGCGGCAAGTGTTGCCCTGTCTCACCTTCCCGCCCCGCACTTGCCTGCTAAATTCTAGTTGCATGCCAACAAGTGCCCAAAAGAATATCGGGCTAAATCCACCAGTCTTCCCGCATGCTCCTACTTGGCCAACTGTCACACAAAGTTGTGCAACATAAAGTTCTGCTCGTTACTTTTGCATATTTTTATGAGCCCGCCCGGGTGGTGGGGAATTTTTGTTGACAATTGATTGACAAGTGCTGAGCGAAATGCTTCCAAAAGTTTGTTAACTTGTTGAAAATGTCAGCAAAGTTATTAATGAAAATCTGTGGGGCCTGAAATGCCCTGACAAACTGTAAGAAAATGACTGGCAAATGGAACTGTTTTGGGCTCTGCTCAGCCAATGGCAAAATAATAGACTGCTGGCTTGGATGCCAAGATAAATAGCATCTGGCCCGTAGAATGCAAATAATTTCGTTGGAAATCAGGCGACGAAGATGATGCTGGTGGGTGGCTATGCCGTGCATACTGAAGCACGTTGTTAAAGAGCCATAATTTCATATTTTGATTGCTTAAAGCCCTGGCTCTGCTGCTCCCAGCATGCATTTAAATCACTCAACGAGTGTTGCTGCCGGCTGAAGGCACGTGCCACGCCCTGCTTTCCTACGCTCCCTGGCCTTTTCGTCCTTGATCCTTGTAACGACACGTCTCACCCGTACAAGCCAGTACAATCATAAACAACAAGAAAGGAAAGCTAACTTCGGGCGGAGCCGAAGTTGATATACCCTTGCAGAATACTCTGTTAATTATATTCTCCAAAATTATTCATATGATGCATTCTTAATACTCATAAAAAATCCCAACTTCCTAACTTTAAAAACACCAAAGTTATGGCATTTCCAACGTTCAGTTATATGGCAGCTATAGGATATAGTCGGCCGATCCTTATGAAATTTGGTAGGTCGGATTGATTGGCCAAAAATAAAACCCATAGAAAATCCCAACTTCCTAACTTAACAAACACCAAAGTTATGGCATTTCCGATTAATCAGTTATATGGCGGCTATAGGATATAGTCGGCCGATCCTTATGAAATTTGGTAGGTCAGATTGATTGGCCAAATATAAGACCCATAGAAAATCCCAACTTCCTAACTTTACAAACACCAAAGTAATGGCATTTCCGATCAATCAGTTATATGGCAGCTATAGGATATAGTCGGCCGATCCCGGCCGTTCCGACTTATATACTGCGTGCAAAGGAAAGAAGGGTGTGTGCAAAGTTTCAATTCGATATCTTTAAAACTGAGAGACTAGTTTGCGTAGAAACAGACGGACAGACAGACGGACAGACAGACGGACAGACGGACAGACGGACATGGCTATATCAACTCAGGAGGTGATCCTGATCAAGAATATATATACTTTATAGGGTCGGTGATGTCTCCTTCACTGCGTTGCACACTTTTGACCAAAATTATAATACCCTCTGCAAGGGTATAAAAATGTTTCAGCCTTGACAGCTGTTTTTCTCTAGCTGCTTAGCTGCACTGAGCTGAGCTCAGCCGAGCTTGGCTTACAATCGGCAGGGAGATGATATATGCATATCAAGTGCAGCTTGGCTAGTTGCTAAAAACGCAAAATACGCGAAAAAATAAAACCCACAAAAGTACAGTCACAGCTCATCAAAAAAAGTCGTTACAACCACTAGTACGCGTGGCAGAAGTGAAAATTTAAAGAAGAAATGCACACCAGTTTTATGCTTTTCATTACGTGCTTTTTTCTACACAGCAAAGATCTGACAGAAAATAAACTAATTCCCAGTAAGTAACATAATTAATTGAACTTTTTGTGTGTACACTTTCATTGAGAAATGTAGATGATTTTCTTTATTTACGCTTACAATGAATTTCACCTGAAATCGCCATAAAAAGAATCTTAGAGTGATTGGCTCATATTATTATCGCAAATTTTTCTAAAATTTGTTTTGTTTTTTCTTACATTTAGGAGTTGGTCAATCATTTCCAAAAAAACCATGCTCAATTTTATTGATCTTGTTATTAATTATTATTTAATTTGTTTTGCTTTCAACATATGTACTTAAGGTCGGCAACACACAAACATTTTATAAATAGAAAAGTAGGAGCAGATAAACTGGATAAGGGGAATAAATACAAGAATCAAACAACTTAATTTTTTGCTTGTTGGCAGACACTAGGACTAGAACACGTGACCTATACGGAGCGATGGAATTGTAAAATAAATATTTCTAAAACAACCGTCTGTAGTTTGCCAAATAAAAACAACCGTTTTTTCAATTTTAATTTCTTTTATTTTTAAAATTTATAAAATTTATTATTTAAATATAAACTTATATATAAAAAAAATTTCTAAAGTCAGATAATTTTTCCGGGTACCCACGATTTTTAGCTTTCCAACATTTAATGTCCAAGTCTACACCGATTTTGTAAATTTTAGGGCTATTTCTCTTGATTTTACAAAATTTGACATGACTTTGTTCTACAAATTATGGCAATTTCGTCCTTTTTTAAATTTTATCGAATGAGAGCGCTCTTAATTTAAGAAAAATTAGTTCTTTTTTTCTTATTAAACATAATTTTAGGTCGATTTTGTTCTAAGGGTAGTGTAATTTTTAACAATATTGTATTTGTTTCATTTGACTCTACGATTAGTGAATACAGAGAGAAAAATGTTATCGCACATTCTCTACTCTGTTTTAAAGTGTTTAACTTGAACTTTACTAAAGCAACAGTAATTTATTATTTATTAAAAATGATCAGTGCCATCAATATTTTTGCAACTTTCCATCATGAACTTTAATTAGACCCATTAGTGCATGAACTCGAATAGGCTTATGGGGCAAGCATTTAAATGTGTACACTGTATGGCACAGTTTTCCGGTCCAATTGGCATATGCGCAATACTGTGCCCTAAAAACTTTTGAGAACTCGCTTTAAGCGTGCCCGGAACCCCTCGTCCTTCCACACGGCGATATAACAATTCCAGTCGATGTGCCCGCTTTAAAGGCATCTCAGTAGGGATCGCATTTCCGAGTCGCTGGCAGTTTGCGAACTTTCACAGCTGCCCAGGGGACGTTCCCTGGTCCCTGGGTGACGGAGGGGGATTCGGAGGGGAACAAAACGCATCAATTGCAACTTTTGTGCGGCATTTGTGTCGCTGATTTAGGGGCGGTTCCAACGCAACAACGTGGGTAGGCGTATTTTGTTGCCCTTGCAGCGCATAAATATCGCACAGCGTATCACACTTAATTGCACGTTTTGTAACTTTGTCGCTATTTCTCTGGCCTTTTGTTGGATGCAATTGTCGGTTAAAAGTACGCGTGGCAACGTGGCTTGTGCCCCCTTTCTTGCCAGGTAGCCGACTTTTTTCAAACTCTGGTCTGTTCATTAAGTTGGAAGACTTTTTTGAATTCATAATTGTTCGCTTCTTAAGTAGTCCATAAGTGAATTTCTTTTCATAAATGATAGCTCAAAATACGCTTAAGAATATTCAACAACTATTTGTTTTAATAAAAACAGCAAATCTATTGAGATATTTGAAATTAGGTTTTTTAAAGACAGGAGACTAATGAAAACAAGAACAGAGAACAAG